AATCTGTCAAAAACTTTGAAAGTTTGAAAGTTTGTCCTATATACTACATACTGCGTTCAACAGTGGTATGTATTATGACTGCCAGTCGCTGGTCATTCTGCAGTAAACCTGGTTCAGCTAAGCTGCTCCGGTCTTGGAATGAGGACGTAAACAACAGCCCAGCTGACGACAAACACTAGGACTGTGTAGCGTCCACTGACAGTCTGAAGAAATCTGACAAGATTAGATTTTCATGATTTAGAGAATCAACACAGATAAGTGGTGCTATCTTTGTGTGGTTTGGTCTGAGTGTGATTATTTACCCTGTTACGATGGATGTTGCTGTCTGACCTGCAGGCGCTTTGCATTGTGGGAAACAGTACTCGAGGGAGACTGGTCTGACGCATACTGAACACATCTGAATCTCTGGCTCTTTCCAAGAAGCCACAATTCAGTATGCAGTGAGTACTTTCCAGTAGACTGAACCCTCATGGTCATTCAGTGGGCATTGTTTGGGTCCACCTCAGTAGAGGGTTTTGTGAAGTATAGTTTGGATGCATCCTTTCAGGAAATTAGTTGAATTTAAACACCCTCAATGCTGTGAGAAACGAAATGTAAAACGTTTCTTTGCAATAGCCTCCAAATCAAAACATACCAGGATGAAATAATTTTAAAAAACGAGGATGGATGTGGCTGGTTCGGGTATCGCGTCTCAAAAATGTTGTTAAACTGTTTAAAGTTTTGTATTATTTACTGAGCCATCGTGCAAATCACATCTGAGTTAGAGTGTGAATAACATGAGGCAGGCTAACGACGCTTCTTCCACACTGAATGAGTCAGACGAAGTAGGAACAGATATCGGCCTACTGAACAGTAGGATGTCTACTGTCAGATTTTGTAGGCACTTTGCAATTTGGAAGCACCCAGTATATTTGTTTACATGCATACATACATTTTAGCCAAATCAGTACTTCTAGTATAGTAGGCGGTTTAGAAACCATCCAGAGCATGGTGACATCTGTATTAGTCCCGGAGCCAGGTCCCTCCCTCAGGATGTTTTCTGCTACCTTTTTTTCACTTTGATTTTTAGTTAGCCCATACCTTAGGCCATCATGCGTTGATAACGACTGGCACTTTTTTCGAACATTAGCGATTGTGAAGGTTCTTTAGTAGGCACATAAATTAAATCTATCATCCCAAAAAAGGGCATAATCTGACCCCTTTAAAGGTGGGAGTGGCGGAAGCATTTATTAAAGGAACAATATGTAACACTGACATCTAGTGTTTTGACTGAAAACATTGTAGAGAGCTGTCTCCATGTGGTGGACACTGATGCTTCAGTGTTTAGCCAGCTCTCCATTTTTCCAAAATCATCTCCAATATTGATCCTAGTTTAAGCACTTTTCTGCTCGTGGAGCTTATTAGAAACTTGCCCGCTTCCATCGCTGCAACACCTGTTGGTTTGACCTGATAATGTTACGACCAGTGAATTTAGGACCCAGATGCAGGACACATAAACAGAGGGGTTGATTGGTAATGAGGTTTATTGTGGCAAATGGAGATGAAGATGGGTTGAAGATTCCGGAAGTTAGCAGAGTGAAGGGGACGAAGACTGACCAGACCAGAGTAGGGGTGTGAGTGTGGCTGAGCAGTTCTGAGTCCAGAGAGCAGGTTGAGGCAGATGGCTGAGCAGGAAGGCAGGTGGGTGAATGGTGATCCTGAAGCAAAGGAAAAACAGGGTGAGACTCAAAAAGCCAAAACAAGCACACAAGATTAATTTCAAAGGTTTTTTCAAAATCTTAATTTAGCCTGAGCCGTAGTCTACCGCAGTAGTTGAAACAACGATCTGGCGATGAGTGGATGGAGAGCCGGGGTATATATACTGCTGAGTTGATGAGGAGATGGAGAGCTGGTGTGCAGGTGAGAGCAGGTAAAAGGAATGAACCTCAATCAGGAGGGAGCCAGAATGAGAGAGCCATGACAGATAACTGCTCTCATATCTGGCAAACCGAGGGGCGTCCAAAACGGCCTTAAAAGCGCCTACCTTCTCTGATCCAAACAAATCCAGAGCATTCAGGACCAGAATCCAAAGTTAGGAGGAGGACATACTGGCTGCTGCATTGTTGTCAGAGAAGCCAGCACTTCAACATAGCATGTTTCATTAATGTCTGACCTTATTTTAAGGTCACTTTATCATTTCAGTCTCTACACATCTTACAGATTTGACCTTCAAGTTCAGCTTTCCTCTTGTTTTGAGGAAAACAAAGTTGAAGAGACAAGTTCAAATCCTAGATTTTAAATATTAATTCCACTTAAACGTATAATAGAGGAAGTCACTATTACCAGGCTTTACAAGCCAAAGGGAAAACAAAATAAAGCCTGGTTTGTCTGAAAGCTTCTTTGGTGTTTTTTCGGTGACTCAGAATGTGTAAACACTATTAAGCCTCTGACCATGTGAGCAGCCGGGTGGATTTGTGTGTACATGCCCTTCTGGCTTTTCCATGATTCCAAGAAAACATTTAGCTCATCCGGTCTTGAAGAATCTTGCCTTTAGAAATGTTGATGTTTATCTCTTTATATCACTTTGGCTCGGCCTGTTAAATGTGAGCCCACATCGGAACCTCACAACAATAAAAAGGATTCACTGTGCAGTAAACTAGTGATGATTTAGTTTCTCTTCATTATCTGTGAAACGTTGAAGAATAAGTAAGTAAGTGAGTCATATACAATCTGTTTGTTTGCTTTCAGCAGGATTTCTTCAACAGCTCTGGGTTAATATCACCAATAAGCAGTCCTTTTCAGTCAGTTTTCTTTATGTTGTTCTGTTCTGAGGCCCTCGTCACAAGTTGTCACGTGTTCCTGTCTTATATTCTGGGAGACAGACACGCTGCGAATAGAGAAAGCGGCTTTTGTCATCGACACTACACGACACTCACACCAGGTTTTTCTGCAAACTGCGTCTTATTTCATTTGAAGGAGAGAAAACCTCATCACAACAGACTGTGGGTCAATATTAACCTTCACTGTCTGTCTTTCCTTTGTCAACTATTTCAAGTGAATGAAATCGTAAACAAATAAATATAAGGCTTTTTTAAAAACTTATATTGTAAGTCTGTAAAGTTCTCCATTGTGCAGCAGAGTATTCTTCCATAAACAATGACACGTCCCTGCAGAAAACTGAAAATATTGAAAGTCATTTTATTGCACTGCATTGTGTCAGTTTTGTTTGATATAGTCGTCACCTGAATATAAATCATTCATGTGAAGAGACAATCAATTACTCCACGTTTAAAGGAAGAATGTGTGACTTTTTGATCCAGTAGTAGCACCATTGAGCACCAGCATGAAACCAAAACAAACTGCTGTTTGGCCACGCCTCCTCCATCCTGAAGCCACCGCTCTCCTTCAGTGTCACACCTCCAACCCCCCTCCACTCGGAACACACCATAATTAAACACCATTAAGGGTAAGCGGCGGACAAATTTTTTCTTGGCTGGAGCAATCACCTGTGGCTGCATTGTTGTGTTAGCATGCTAATGTTAGCGCTCTTTAGTTAGCTCGTAGCTTCACGTTGCATGTAAGTTGACACAGAATGAGCGTGATCTAAAAACTCTGACGTAACATTGAAATAAACAGTGAGTATGTTCTTCTTCATTTCTCAAGTCCTTGACCTCTGACAACAACACAGCCAGTGAGACTCGAGCTTCTCACTCCTTGTAGACAGTCATGACTCAGAGACACATTTACACAGGATAGACTCAATTTCTGATTTATTTATGTGTCAAAGTCCCTCATTCTTCCTTTAACTTGAAATATGGCTGAGTGAAATCTTTTCAAAAACAATAACTACAGAAATGTTTTTATTAAAATAATAATGAAAGAAGTTATTTCAGGGAAGAAAATTGATGAGGAGGAAAACAGATGATGTCAGCTGTGTGATGAGACACGACTGTAGAAAGTCTCATTTGATGACGGGTTGGAGCATGACTTGAGGATTTCCTCCGCTTGCAAGGGAATAGACCTCTTATTGTTCAACTGCAAATCTAGCGTTTAACATTTGCAATGTAACTGATTCTACATGTAAACATGTTGACTGAGAGAGGGTGTGTTTAAAGTTTGTACATGCAGAGTCAAAAGTGTCCATTTGGTGCTTTGTTGCTTGGAAACAGGGTTACCATTTCTAGCTAAACCTGAAAGCCAAGTGAATGATCATGGATGTTCTTGTGCCGCAGATATGAAGTCAGCCCGATTAAAAGAAAGACACAGTGATATTAATATTCTTATTTAACTGGCTTCTTTTACATTGACAAACCATGTTGGCCAGCACTTTGCTTAAAACGTCTGCGACGACAGCTCTGTGTGTGTGTGTGTGCATGCACTTTTGTGCTCCTCAAGCTGTGAATGGATGCAAAAAAAATAGTAGGATTTTGTGTTTGCACGCTGTAAGAAGCCTTCAAAGGAGTAATGATGGCAGAACTTTGTTATGGCCAACGCAGTCAGGAAATGGCTTGTGTGTCTCCTGCTTGTAAATAAGTAAAGGCAACAGGCGACAAGTTTTTGTTTTTGTTTTTGTTTTGTTTTTTTTGGGGGGGGGCTGTCAAGGTTGTTGGACAAGAAAAATTAAGCTGAGCATGAATCTTAGAGGAGGCATATTGTATAATGTTGGCACAGAAGGCGGCTGAGTGCAATGAGATTGAGACTAGAGCGCAGGAAATCTGTGCAAGCAACATAATACTGAGCGAGAGCAGCAGATCTAATCTTTTAAAGATTGTGATTTGGAACCTCTGATTTCAAATGATTTTGTCCCTGATGTTTGTCATTACTTCAATGGACACATTTTGTATAAAGTTGTATCAAACTTATTGTCCTAAAAAGTGTTTTTTTTCTGTTCTCCTGTTCCCTCTTTCTTCAACTCACTCTTTAACCTTCCAATTCATTGTCCATGTCATTTGATCTCTCATCCTCCTCCTCTTCTTCATCGCTTCTCTTTCCTTTGCTTTTTTTTTTTTTTATCTTTGCAGTGACAGGAAAGCCCTTTTTCGTCGTGTCTAGTTTCTCCCACCGCTGGTTGTTTGGCTGGGAGGGTTGTCGTTTCTACGGTTGGGCAGGTTTCTTCTTTGGCTGTGGGAGCCTCATCACCATGACTGTGGTCAGTCTGGACCGATACCTCAAGATCTGCCATCTCAGCTACGGTATGTTAGAACAGTCTCTCCTGAACATATGAGCCAACTATCAATCTTATTATAACATGAAATGTACTAGGATAAGAAAAAAAGCCCAGATAACTTTTATATTTATTGGAGGACAGATATGTGTAGTGATTTTTCTCTTAGATAATTTCATAAAGTTCTACTTTTGGCTTGTAATGAGACAAGACCCTATTCTTGTGTTATGATCTGCTCTGATAAATATGAGAAGACTAACAGTGCACACAGAGAGGGACTTCTCACTAAGGCAGTATTAACTCAGCACAATGCAGGAGATGGGACGCTTCAAAGACTCATCAGTTAAATTATAATAGTCCGACATGGTTAGTTTCTCACACCTTCATTTAACATCTGTGTTGCTCCCTTTATACATTGTTTCACCACATCTGGCAATACAGAAACACAACCACATCAACTTGGTGTGAGTGCATCTTCTAAGTCATCTCAGTCTACTTGATGACATGTGATCTCTTGCTTCCTAAGGACCTTAAGGGTGCCCTAAAGTACCCGTGTGAGCCTTACCCATATCAACCACAATGCTTTAGTACTTGATTAAACTGTGTATCAGAACACGGCTAAAAACAAACAGGACATTCATGCAGAAAACAGTCACTCCCCAATGAAGCCCTCTGTTGATGGTTTTTCCTCTTATTCATCTTCTTTAAGGGCTTACTCACACATAGGCCCAGTTGCCCTGTACTGTGGTGAAGCACGACCCCCCTGCCCCCACTGGCCTGCACTCACACTGCTCCAGGACTGACCAGTAGTTTAGTCCACTGTAGTTTACAAGACTGTGTGGAAAAACTGGAAGAAGAGAAGTTAAATAAAGAGTCAGCTGGAGCCTGGCCTATCTCAGAACAAAACTACCTGTAGGTTGTACCTGGCTCTTAAAAGGAATGAGGGCTGGCACTCAACATGGTTTGATTCATAATACACCCAAAACGCACCAAGTTTAAACAAGCGACTCTTTGCACCCTGCACTTCACTTAGCATCCAGATCGTGTGCCACTGAACTGGCATAATGTTCACTACGCACCATGCACTGTGCAAGACTGTGCACTAAAATCATTAAAATAAGAAAATTCAGATGTGTTCTGCACTGGCAGACTCAAAAAAAAAAAGAAAAAAAAAAGAAGGGTGGTTGAGTCCGTGTACAAACATTGGTCATCAGTCATTTTAGTCAGATACAGCGAAAACACCACACAGGGGTTTCTTGATAATGGAAGTTTTGGGCCGATTATACTTCATTTCCACGTTGTGTTCCCCCTGCATGTGCTCTTGAATGAGCGACTGAGCTGGAGCCCACCTCTTCCATCAGTGCCAGGGCCGAAGAAGTGCACTCACACTGGTCATACGACCTGGACTTTTGGGGGTCAAATGTGCTTTTGCACGGTACGGATGGCCTAGTGTGAGTGAACCTGTTGAAGTCCCCCTGATGAAGCAAACACTATGTTTAAGAGATCATCCATGTGAACTATTGTGTTGTGAAACCAGAATAATACCATTGTTTATTATTTCTCACAATTTTAGGATCATGGCTAAAACGGCATCACGCCTTCCTGTGCCTGGCCTTTGTGTGGGCGTATGCAGCCTTCTGGGCCACCATGCCCCTGGTCGGTTGGGGGAACTATGCGCCGGAACCCTTTGGGACCTCCTGCACGTTGGACTGGTGGCTCGCACAGGCCTCCGTGTCAGGCCAGACCTTTGTCATGGCCATCCTGTTCTTCTGCCTCGTCCTCCCGACAGTGATCATCGTCTTCTCATACGTCATGATCATCTTCAAGGTCAAGTCGTCAGCAAAGGAGATTTCAAACTTTGACGCTCGCATCAGGAACAGCCACGAGCTTGAGATCAAACTCACAAAGGTGGGTAAGAGATGGGAGGGAAGGCTTGGGAGAGCAATTGAGCAGGGGGGGGCAAAACGACCGATATTTCAGAACTGGAGAGCAAACTATAATCTGGATTTTTGTTTTGTATCATCTCCCAGGTGGCAATGCTGATCTGTGCAGGCTTCTTGATAGCCTGGATCCCATATGCAGTGGTGTCAGTGGTGTCGGCGTTCGGTGAGCCAGACTCAGTGCCCATTTCTTTGTCTGTCATTCCCACACTGCTGGCCAAGTCCTCAGCCATGTACAACCCTATCATCTACCAGGTCGTGGACATGAAAAACTCCTGCGCAAAATCCTCCTGTTTTCAGGCCCTGAAGAAACGCAGGCACTTTAGAAAGTCAAGGTAACATACAGCTTGTTTTTTTAGAATGTTGTCCTGGTGAAACTGCTGATGAGGCTCGGTGAAAGTTTCAATGAGTTTGTGCTGATTGGACTGTTTCATTCATGTTTCATAAACACCAGGAGCTTAGCTAAAGGCTAACTTGAAACATTTAAAACTTTTAATTTAGCCAGAAAGAGATTGTCAGTTCACCGTTCTCAGCCCCTCCTTCCACTCAACAATCTGCAGTCCAGCTCCGGTCTGATACCCCCAACATCATCCCCTCATCCTCAATCCCCCTCATCCTTGACATCTATCAGACGACTACACACACACACCTACCCATCCACAGACACCTATTCATACCCCTCCCCCCCCCCTCATTCTTACCAGCCACCCTCTTGAAGGCCTTCAAATAAGGAGAGATTATTCCTTCCTTTCCTTCTTTTTTGTTTTTTTCTGTTTTGGTCTTTTTATAATGTTTCTGCTCATTTGTTGAATTACTGCTCAACTCTCTGCACTGTCCTCCCTCTATATGTTTTGCAATTTTTCACCTTTTTCACAAACATTTATTGAGGTGTGGGCATGGACAACATAAAGGCTAATATGTCTGAATATGCTAATTTCAGTCACGGCTCCTCCTATAATGTTTTATATTGTGTAAAACAAGATTCACAGGTAATGCCACAGTTTGCTTTAAAATTCCTTGATTTCAATGTTTCTCTCTGAATAATTATGAATTAAGAATGTTTAAGCCTTAAAACGTTTTTGTTTGTAATAAAAGAGCCACCATTTTGGAACATGATGGCCGACTGATGACCCAATTCATTCTTATGTATTTAATGTTTTATTTTGCACTTAGGTACAGTAAGATCCAAAGTTACCCCAGTACAGGTACAGTACAGGTACTGGTGCCAGCTCTTCGTCAGAGGGTCCCGGTACTAATCCTTTGCCGGTCATGGCCAAATGGTAACTGTTTAAGGCGGTGGTGAGGAGACACGCCTAGCTTCTAACCGCCTTCATCCAGACGCCTACCCTGCTTCCTCTGATACAGCATCTGATCAATCAAAAGATTGAGTCCAAACATGATGGCTTCATTACTGTAAAAATGTACATATCAGACGCAGTGGACTGATAAATGTGCTAATCTGACAGCTCGGCAGCCGCCTACATCACCCTCTGCCAACAAATGAAAAATGGCACCCAATCATTGTGTACTGCAAGCGTGGATACGAAGCAGCACAGAGCAGGCTGGTGGGACATCTTTTCTCCCTCAGTGAGGTCATAATCATGCTGTTCTGATCTGTTCAGTAAATAAACCTTCTGGAGTGCTATTTTGATTGAAAAGACTCCTGAAAAGCAGAGGAGGAAAACTCTGTGACACTATGCAAACTGTTAGCATGCTATGGGACCATACATACAAACTAACTAGTGCAGGACTCTAAACTCTTTGCCTTCAGGCCAGTTAGAAGCCTTTGATAGATTACAGCTGTCCCAAACTCTTTTCCCTCCAAATTCACATTAAAGACACTTTATGTTCATGAGCTCTGGTCTTGTGTTTCCTGTTTTATTGTGTCTCCTCTACCCTCCCCACAATACACAAACCGTCCTTAAGCTATTCATATTCTGAGAAAAATACAATTAATCGTTTAACCGAGGGCAGTCGTAAATGTTGCTCAGTTGGAAATGCTGCCTCTCGTGTTGCCATGGCAATTTTCCAGTTTCACTCTGTTTGACGATAAGAGAAGAAATGTGTCCAACTGGTTTTAAGGATTAAATCAATCTAAACACTTTAATAATTAAAGAGAGAAACATTGAAATCAAGGAATTTTAGAGGAAACTGTGTCACCCCCTCTGCTCAGAACTTGTGGATCTTGTTTTACACGATATATAAAACATTATAGGAGGAGGACTTTTTTTCTGTCTTATGTCTTTGTTATTTTCTCCAAAGTACAGTTGTCATTTCCTTGCAGCCCTCATGTTGTGTAAATAGCAAATTAACCACCTTCGCCCCAAAGGATGTGTTAGGGCTCATAGTGAGGTTGATATCATTTAAATGTGTCAGTCAGTTTTTCTCATGCCTCTGAATAAGGGGGCGGCTGCTTGTAGAGTCGGTCCTCTCTCAACAGGAAGGACGAGGGTTCGATCCCCAGTGCATGCAGCAACATGTCTGATGTGTCAGCCTCTACCATCAGTGTGTGAATGTGTCGGTGTGACGAGAAAAGAAATATATAAGCTCAAGTTCACTTTCCAAACTCTTTTAATAGATAGAAAGATACTTTATTGATTGATCAAATTATATTCAAATGTTCAAATGTAAGAATTCAAACATTTTTGGGCGGCTGTGGCTCAGTTGGTAGAGTCGGTCGTCTTAACTGGAAGGTCCGGGGTTCGATCCCCAGATCCTGCAGCAACATGTCCGATGTGTCCTTGGGCAAGACACTTCTCCCCAAGTTGCTCCTGCTGCTTTAGCAGCAGTGTATGAATGTGTATGAATGGATTAATTACTTCTGATGGACTCTTTACACAGCAGCCTCTACCATCAGTGTGTGAATGTGTAGGTGTGAAGAGGACTATTTAAACAGTACAATGAGTGATTTCAAGAGCAACTAATCTCATGTCACTGTGTGTGTGTGTGTGTGTGTGTAAATATTTGATGATCTTTGTGTGTTTTCTGCTCATCTCATTAATGACCTGCTGTGTCTCTGTCCATGCAGGTTCTACACTATCTCTGGATCCTTGAAGGACTCTCCAGCAGCCATAGAAACTCATATTGAGTTGTGACACTTTAGACTGGCTGACCCCCCCTGTTCCTCCTTCTGGACAGTTGGCCTTGTTTCCTTGCCCTCTTCACTTCCCTAACCACATGCTGCCTGTCACCACCTACAGCATCATTAACCTTTCATTCTCATTGCCAGTGGTTCTGCAGTAATGCTGCTTTGTTTTCCCCACCCACGCTGGATCTCTGTGTGCTTCCTCCCTGGAAACACATCTTTCCCAAGACAGTGTTCCTCAATCTGTGGGCGTTGCATTGTCCTAGCAGTGGTTAAAACATACATAAGTGATGTGTTGTGTGAGCTTCTTGATATCATGTATTCATTATTTTGTACACCCCTGTCTTTCAATATTATACAAAGCACAAAACATGTAACCGACTAGCTATAAGCACAGTGAAGTTTTCATCACACACCCCCGTTACTCAGGTTTTGAAAAGTTGAGTCGTTTCCAACCAAAGTCTGGTCAAGTTGTATAAATATGAATCTTGATAACACTGAAATGGCTCCAGAAGTGTCAAATATTGAATTTATTTTACACTATGTTTCTAGAAAACTGAACTGCAAAATATAATGTAAAGAAGAAAAAAAAACAAGCTGATGTTGAATCAGGATGGAGTAGAAGTGAGCTCAGAGTTGTATTTTTGTTATTTGTACAGGATGTTGTCTTTTGTACTCCTCAACTGTAAACTGTACATACATTTTCAAAAGGCAATGAAGCACATCAGCAAATGTTCTCTGCACACACAGGTAGACATTATGTGGTGACTGATGTCAAGACTAAGGCCCCGTGTCCATCTAGTGTTTTTCTCTTTTTTTCATTTGTTTTCAATGAGTAGAGAGCGGCCGCCTGGAAAAAGAAAGCAGCGCCCAGCATCTTTTCTATCAAGCGCTTCCAAGCCCTTTGGCTGCTCCGAGCGCTAAAGTTAAAAAAAATTGATCTACTGGCTGGAAGGGAGTGGCATTGATTACCTGCTGACACACAGGGACTCTCTTGAGAGGTCAGAAAGTTGACCTTTGAAGGGTCAGCTGGAACGAAGATGTTGAGGCCTGAAGTTAGAAGAAAGAAGAAGCTTGTAGCATCACTGCTGGCAAACAAGAATGAAGGTCTAACACTTGTCAAGGTCCCAGGTGGAAGTCCTTTGTTATATGAAGTGGTTCAGATTAACCTGTGTTAATTCTTGTCTGAAGAATTGTTGGTGTGTGATTATCATCGCTGGGAAACCTGAGCACGCAAAGCGCTTATGTTGAGTGTGATTCACAAAGTATAAAAGCGCTGACACTTGTCTTGCTCGGTGTGGAAAGAAGCTGTCTTTACCTTTACTCTGCATGAGGCAGCGCTGGCATGCTGATGCTGCACTATTTTAAATTTAAAAAAGGTAGGCCAGGAGGGAAGGGAAACTTTGTCAAGGTTATACTGAGGCCAGACTGGATGTGATTTGAGTCCAACAGAAGTTGTGTCCTGGTCAGAGAACAGTTTGCTAGTGACATCTCTCTAAATTCTGCAGCGTAATTACCATCTAGTCTCAACAGAAGGTCATTTTTTCACACTTTCTACAAATGAAATACACCAACAACTTAATACAGATCTGCAGCTTTTAATGTAAAAATCTCAAAAACATACATTTCCAATAAGTGTTGTTGAAGTTGCCCTTCTACCAACATAATGGTAATTTCCTGCACATATAATAACTATAACAATTGGAAGGCTTTCTTTGAAACAATACAAACAAAACATATCTCTGAGTTTAAAACAGACGACTGAAAATGTAAGACTTGCAAAAGATTTATGACTGACATGAAGTCAACTTGAATTGAAGTCAGTGAACGCAGGACAGAATGCGTCTCCCTCTATCCCGCGTTCAAAGCCCAACACATGTCTGGTTCTGCTCAAGGTTTCTGCCTCTTGAAAGGACATTTTTCTCGCCGCTGTAACTTCGCTAAATGTTGATAGTGGCGTACTCATGATGTAGATAATAAAACAAAGAGTACCATCTAGACTGCCTTTTTGTAAAGTGTCTTGAGAAAACATTTGTGATGAGTTAGCACTATTGAAATGAAGATGGATTGATTTCCCCTTCTAACATTCCCCACAGCCCTCCCAACATTGGAGCAAAAAGTACAGAGTAGAAAAAAGACTATCAGCCCCTTTAACAGAGGACTCGCTCTGCCCAATGTTGTGATATGTTCTGATGAGCTGACTCCAACCCATTGGTAGGTGTTAGTACCTAAACAAACAATAACCACAAAGATAATTTAAATATTACACATGTGGAAAGTTTTTACAATTTTAAAAGCTGGAGATTTTCACACAAACGTAACAAACGTAACCGTCTGTAGATTTGCAGGAAATCATGATGACATTTTTAGGAAACTGCTTTTATGTTGTTGCATTTGATAACATTGTGTTGAACTATCACATTAAAAGCTGCAGATCTGTATTAGCTTTTTAGTTTGTTATGTTAGTAATGGCAGGTTTTGGCTTCTTTTTGCAATGAGGTAAAGACCAAACAGCCCAGACCTCCAGAGGTGCTGTTTGCTCGGCAGCACAGTTAGGGGCATTGAGCCCTCTGAATGTGCTTTGTGAATCGGGCCGTGTCTGATCCATTTATTTGCACGGTTTAGTGAGCCAGAAGCATCACAATCATTTTGTGAATCAGGCTGTGCTATTAACTCATCTCTCAAACATTATCATCGGCTCTGCAAACATGAAATGGGAACTTTTTCCAAGTTTCTGCTCCCTCCAGTGTACATGGCTCAGTTAGGAAGAAAACATCATGCTTATTATCAATGTGGAGATGGTTTGGGTTAAAGCACCAGAATGCTTCTTCAGACATTTTTCTTTTTACTGAAACTGACAATCAAACATCCAATCAGACATTCTTAAACTCCTTTAACTCTGAGTCATCACACATCAGATGAACGCTTTATGTTCTAGCACAAACTTACCTTTGAATTTGGAACACTCCCAATGAAAAGGGTCTGGTGGTTTGAAAGCTTCCATGATGACAAAAAGATGAGACATTTTAAAATCACCAAAAATATTTAATGCAGGGTCCTTTTTTTTATATCTCCAAGACATAGTTTATGAATTTACACAATCAATGACCTTAATATGTCACATTTTTAACAATTGTAGTCACCAAACATGAATGTTAAAGTGGTTATTTTTCACGAGAGGTTTGATAATAAAATGCACTAAATGTTTAGCGGCTGCATTCTGGCTTCAACATTTTATTGAGTTATAGAGGTTTGGGAGGATCCCCTTTAGTTTTCTCATTCACTCACATTTAAAGATAATGTATCAAATCTAACACACTACATTTCTTTGACCTTTAATCGTACCTCAAATAATATATTATGTCAAAGCAATCGATATAGAAAGAGTGAAAAACAGTCCTTTTTGTATTTTTAAAGGTCAAATCAGTAAGATGTGTAGTGAGTGAAATGATAAAGTGACCTTACTATATGATCATTAATGAAACATGCTATGTTGAAGTACTGTCTTCTCTGACAACAATGCAGCAGCCAGTATGTCCTCCTTCTAACTTTAGATTCTGCTCCTGAATGCTCTGGATTTGTTTGGACCAGAGAAGGTAGGTGGTTTTAAGACACCCCCACACGACCGTTTTGGACGCCCCTCGGTTTGTCAGATATGAGAGAAGTTATCAGGTCAACAGGTGTTGCAGTGATGGAAGCGGTCAAGAGAAGTGGTTCAGATAGAAGTGATTGTACCCGACCTAAAAAGCCTCTGCATGTTTCTAATAAGCTCCACGAGCAGAAACGTGCTCAAACTAGGATCAATATTGGAGATGCTTTTGAAAAATGGAGAGAGGTTAGAACACAGAAAGGTTTACAGACCCATGCAGAGCTGGATAAACACTGACAACCTGTGTGAGCATTAACTGTATGGAGGAGGGGGGGAGACAGCTCTCTATAATGTTTTAAATCAGGACTGCAGTACCCAACTAAACACTAGGTGTCAGAGTTAAATATTACTCCTTTAACATATTCAGAATCGTAACTTATAGAAAGTTGACTGGTTTTTGTTTTGAATTATATATTTGGTGAACATGTTTCAAATGAACTGTCTTTTTAAACACCTGTTGCTCAGCTGTGATTTTTGAGCATACAAACACTAGTTGCATTTTGTTGGTTAAGTAGCGAGGTGATGCTATCTTGGCTACTGGAAAGTGTCAACTGCATGCTGAGTCTTTTGTGAACATGCCACGCTGAGACCTCTTGTTTAGGCCAACAAGTGTTTGGACATGACATGCCATGAACACCTGGCTGCTCTGTAACTAACCCAATGATGTAAGACTCTTTGTGGATTCTCCAACTCCTCAGTGCCACTTCGGGTCTAAATTTATCTTAAGTTGTGACTCTGTAACTTTGAACATGATTCAGTTACTTTGCTTTAAATGCAAAAATAAAAATCCAGCTGAAGAGATTTATAGCAATTTTTACAAAATATGCAAAACCTAGTCTAGTTCTTGTTCTGCAGAAGTGAAATACTCTTTGTCAATGTTTGTTACAAAAGAGCAACATTGTGTTTTCTGTTGTCATCAATATACTCCTATCTGTATTTCATAATGAAGAATTATTTGTGTACATTTCAATTGCAAACATGTCAGAACCGTTGGAAAGATTTCTGTTTGGTGATGACAGTTGGCCTGTTCTTCTCAAACTGAGGCAAGTTCAGCTCGACGAACACAGGTGTCATTCAATGCAATGCAAGCCATGCAAAGTTCAATACTTAAACATACATTATAATGTGGAGGATCTGGATTCTTTTTCACATATGAACTCATTCTGGCCCTGTATGGTATAAATGTTATGAGTGAAGTCAAAAAGTAAAGAGCTCAAATGTCACATACATTGCAGGATTAGTGAGGTAGTAGCCCTGCGGCCCCTGAAGCAGTCTGCCCGGTCAGCCACCCAGCCTTTGTTTTCAGCATTTTCTGCACAGAAAAGTTACACTAAATGTAAACACTTTACGCCAATATTAAAAGAAGAATGTGCGACTTTTTGATCCAGTAGATGTCGCCTTTGAGCACCAGCATTAAACCAAAACAAACTGCTGTTTGGCCACACCTCCGCTATTCTGAAGCCTCCGCTCTCCTACAGAGACACGCCTCCAACGCCACTCCACTCATAGGGGCTATGAGCAGCGGACAATCACCTGTGATTGCATTGTTGTGTTAGCATGCTAATGTTAGCGATCTTTAGTTAGCTCGTAGCTTTACATTGTATTTAAATTTACACAGACTGACCATGATCTAAAGACACTTATGTGACATTCAGGGGAGGAGCTGGCCGCCCCGTCCATGTAAACACGGCTCTGACAACAACACAGCCAGCAGGACTCGAGCTTCTCACTCATTGTAGACAGTCATGACTCAGAGACACAATAACACAAGATATATTGGATTTCTGCTGTATTTATGTGTCAAATTTTGCACTTTCTTCCTTTAAATCGGTTGTGTCTGAAACATCTCAAATGTCTTCTTCATCCAAATTCCTTGTTAATAAAAGTGCATTTGCTGATTTATCAAATATTCCTTTCAGAATATGATCATGTTTATTCTTCACTATTTTGGTTGGTAAAATGAT